CTTCAGTCATGCCTGATTGGGATTCGATAAAGCCTACTTGAGCTTCAAATGGACTCGTGTCCACTTTCATAGACATTTCTCCAAACTTCAGTCTTCCTTGGTCAATCGCATCTTGGATCGTGTTCCTGAAATGTATACAATTGTTAGTCCAATGTCCATAAATATTATGAAATTTACAATACTTCCGACCATTCCTCTGTTCTGCAGAAGGCAGTTTATGATCTTCACTTAACTTGATCTGTTTATCTTTTAATAGAATATCGAATATTTTATCCGCCTTTGTTACATCGAAAGTATACGTTCGATTTGTCATCTTGTCTTTTACTTCATTTTTCTGTAGTAATTTACAAATGTATGGAGCTCCTACTTTGAGCTCTGCTATATTTACTTTCTCATCGACAACTTCTTCAATCTCGATTTCTGTCTCGGGATTTGTCTCATACACGTCATTTATATATGCTACTCTTTCTTTTTTCATGAGTTTCTCAAATTTCTTATACCTTTGTTTTTCATATTCAATTTGTTCTACTCTTCTCACTTTATCAGCTAATTGAGTCATGTCATTCAACGGTAAATTAACTAACTTTTTCCTAATCGAGAATTCTAAGCCTGCAGAGGCCATTCTGACTAATTCATGTTCAGGAATTTGAGTAAAACATCTCGACTTCATTTGTCTAAATCTATTCAAATAATCATCTATGCTTTCATGATTGTATCTCTTTATGTTCATTAAATCGATGAGACTTACTTGAGTCTCTCCTCTAAAGAATTGTTCATGAAAATTTCTTTCCAGTTGCAACCAATTATATATCGAATTGGGTGGCAACGAAGTGAACCAAGTGAAAGCATTTTTAGTTAATGAACTAGGAAAATATTTCATTTTTAATTTTTCACTCATCGCTAGATTCCCACATTCGATCTGATATCGAGCCACGTGCTCGATAATGGATTCACCAATTTCCCCAGCAAATTTGGTGAATTTAGGTACTTTGTATCCTCGAGGTAATTCTGTCTCGAGAATAGCATTTGGAAAAGGAGAAACAAAATACGTTTGATTGGGTGGTCTTAACTCCATTCCTTGGGAATTCATCCTTTGCCCTAACATGTGATTATACTGCATATTATTTTGATTGTACATATTTTGAAATCCCTCATTCAGATTCCCATAAATCTCATTCCTCACATGTTGATATTCATTCCCCATATGCTGATATTGATCATTGTTTCGATTTCTCCTCAATAGATACGGGGGATTGATATTAGCATTTTGGTTAATGTTCTGATTGACATGATTTTCCGCTCTTGTTTGTCGAGGTATAGCCAATGCATCCCCGATACGTGACATTTGATATGCTAATATCTCAACACTAGCAGTAGTGTTTTGAACTAATGGATTGAGGACTGTAGTCAACTGTTGTGATAACATATTCACCATCTCAAAATTGCTCTCATCCATTTGTTGTCTAAGTATTTCTAATGAGTTACTGGAGATCCCAGTACTAGTGTTTTCAATAGTCTCAAAATTGGATCGATGATAATCTCTATCGAATGCGTTTCTCCCATGATCCAAATTTGCTCTATGATCTAGATTTGGAGGTGTCTGTTGTGTACCTAAATTCTGCCCACTCCCTGAATTCTGGGGGGTTACTAAATTTTGAGACGCCCCTAAATTTGGAGAGACTCCAAAATTTTGCGACATACCTAGAGTTTGAAAAGTACCTAAATTCTGAGGCATTCCTAGGTTAAATCTCGAGTTTCGTTGTATCGAAGAGGTACCAGTCCCATTCATATTATTAGGCGAAAAACCATGTGGTTTTACACTCATATACGACCCTGCATATGTTGTTATGGGGTTCCACATCACAGTACTAGATCCTACTTGAGTGTTTGCTAATGTACCTGAATTTTGTTCATTACTCACAGGTATCGACATACTCCCAGTCGTCGATATTACAGACATATTTCCATTATGACCTTGCCCCCCAGTGTTTGGTGGATGTGAACCATTTAGACCCTCACTGTTACTCTGGTTATTTGGTGGGTTTTGACTCATCCTTATAACTCGCCCACTCCTTAATCTCATACACTTTCGAACTAACCAATTTTGTGTTTTTCAACACAAATGATCCCTACCTGGTGCGCCAATTTGTTTCTGGTGAAATTTTGATTGATTTCGATTTCGAGGGAATTTTGTTCTAACCAAATCCCAACCACGTAGATTCTTTTTACTTAGGCTAGCAAATGATTTTCAATCGGAATATGTATGAGAATCGAAAAGTACCACAAATCTTAATGTAACCTAATGACAATCGAAAGCGCTATTTTTTTTTTGGGTATTTTGTATTTGAAGTACTCGAAATGAGGAAAACAGTAAAGTGATAAATCGAAAAGTAGTACTGAAAGTAAAACTGCGAAGGAATGTAAAATGCGGAAACTTCAAATTTGCATTAAGTGTAAAAGCATCGAGATTGCGGAAATATAAATAACAGGAAATCGAAATTACAGAAATGTAAATAGCAGGAAATCGTAATTACAGAAATGTAAATAGCAGGAAATCGAAATTACATAAATGTAAATAGCAAGAAATCGAAATTACAGAAATGTAAATAGCAAGAAATCGAAATTGTGTTAATATAAATGACAAGGAACCTAAACGCAGAAACTTAACTTTCATTAAAGGGAAATGACAAGGAATCGAAAATACAGAAACTTAAAGTTGCTAAACATAAACTGCATCAAAGTAAATTACCAGGGAAAATAAAGAAAACGGTAAAGGAAATCAATGAACATGGAAATCCAGATCGCCAGAAACTTCATGATGTTCGTCGTTCTCTGGTAGACTTCTCACTAGTATTCCTGCTCTCTCTGCCAATTTCCACGCTCCCTTTTCCCTTCATCCTTCGCTCTATTTATAGAGCATCTTTCAAGTAATCTCTTAGGAGCAGTTAATGAAAATTGCTACCACGTTCTGCGTGCACATCTTTTGTAGTTTTACTCTTAACTCTACGGTTTAGAAACTGCCTTCACGTTCCCATACATGAGGTAACTGCTTCCTTAACCTTCGACCTTTGCCACCGCTTACCATGTTCGATGTGCACGTCAACTATTCCTTTCTTTATAACTTAGTCGGGATTTCGATACATGGGTTAACCTTTCCCCGATGTTGATTTCAGAATCTCGAGAACGTTTGACTTGCCTTTGATTTCTCTTAACCTTAACATTACATAATTTTGATTTCTCGATTTCATTCACTAACGGATATTAAACATTCTTCCTTCGATTTTCGATTCTAATTCTCGCTTATATTGTCACATGGTCGTCGAACGTATTTTCCAACTATCTTTCGATTTATCAATCTTTAACTCAATCAAAATGGTTCTCGATTTTTGCTCCCATTTGTTTCTCGATCTCTTTATCGATTTCCCAGTAACAGATAGATAAGTGATGATAAACCAAATGAAAATTTATTATCGATAAAAAAAAAACGAATACAACTGAAACACGTAGTGAGCTGGATTTGGTGCCATCCAGATATTGAAACCCGTAACTATGATGTTCCATTGCGTGGAGAAGAAATGATTACGTGAGACATCATGGTCCTCAAAATCGGTAAAAGGTTCTAAGGAAGTTTGTAGGCATCTTCTGCTGACTTGCATTTCGGGGCAGAGAAACAAGACTACGTGAGTGTTTGGTTTCAATTACATTTTCTAGGATTCTTTTGAAATTTTAGACAAGGCGTGATTTTAAATTAAAATTTATGTTGAGAAAGATAAAAATGACTCAGATTTAAAATACCAATTTTCAAAACAAATGTTGAATTTATCGCATGTCAAATCGGAGCATCACTCTCCACTTAACCCTTATTTCTAGGAAGCGTCCTCCTGGATATCAACTTGAGCTTATTATATCCAACTAAAATTTACATTATTTTAGTGAAGACTCACTCCTACGTTTTGGTCCCTTTATTAATAACTTACAATAACTATTAGATCGTTATCACACAAATCTTGATATAAATCAAGATAACGCAATACTATAAAAAATATTTTAACACAGGAAAAAAAAATCTAATGTAAATTACCCTTTATGTTAAAGCACACTTCATAATCATGTCTAATGCGATTTTTAAAGATAGATGTCATATTTTGTTTTCTACTAAAACTAAGATAAAAGAAACAGCGTGTGGCTCGCCCACCAATATGATTTTATATTTTACAGTCAAACATGTAGAAATGTTGCGGCACGTGAAAATGAATTATGAATAATAAGCCTCCTACGATTATTTTCAATGGTGGTTATCCCCTACCTTAACATTTTAAATTTAGCATACAAAAATAACGTTGACCCTACAAGAACATGCTATCGTAAAGAGTTGCCATCTAGTGCACGCACCTTCACCGGAAATAACATAAAGACTAGTTAGTAGTATGCAGGATCAGAAATTACAAAAGATGACACTGCTGCTCTTTTAGGTAAATTTATACAATAATTTATAAGTTCAAAGCTGATTTTGTAAAATACATATTTATAATATTGAGTTTATTTTATAATGTTTTAAATAAATTTTATTAATAAATAAACTCAGTTAAAATATTATGTAACTATATTTTGTGTTATCTTTTATAATATTTATGTGATCTCTTTACGAAGAATATCAATTTTGAGTAATAAAAGTATAATTAACCCCCAAAATTAAATAGAGATATATGTTTGACAAAATGCAGGTGCGAAAATATACGGATCCAAACCTAAAAGAAGGAATCCGTTATCCGACTAAATACGGGCCCGATTCAGTGGAATGGGCTTGCGTATTGGACAATGTTAATAGACTGTAAAGACGACACTAATAGAGTCGTCGTTTCAACCAAAATAAACGAGTGACGAAAGTTGTCGTCTGGCGTGTAAATTCATTGCAGCAATGCCAAGACGCGGATACGCGAAACAAAAGGCGGTACTTGTTTTTCTGGTGCTTACCTTAACCTAAACCCTTAAACCTTGGAATGAAGAAGGCGAAGAAGAGTGTTAAAGAGAATGGGGGAAAGTTCAGGGGTGCAGAGAGGTCTGCGTATTTCGCACGCAGAGAGGCAGCGAAGGTGCTGAGATTGGTTCTGGAAGGAGACGCTAAGCGCCGCGCTCTTGCCTCCATCAAATCCCTCATCTATCAACCTTCCGTTAGGAACAAGAAGGCCACCTTCGCTCTCCTTTGTCAAACCCTAAAACGTAACTAACTAACTAACTCTCTCTTTATCTCTCTGAAATTTCTGTAATTTCATTCATGTGTTTGATGTTCGTCCACAGATCTTCCCATCATCAAGGATGTCTTGGAAGCTGTTTCCATTCTCAGCACCAAGTGGAAGGTCATAAATCGTTATAACTTTGCCGCATTAACTTTTTTTCTTCTTCACTTTTTCTTATTTCTTGTTGTGTATTGTTGATTTTTGCAGAGGCAGCGAGAATTGGTTTATATCATTGTCTATGATATCCTTTTCGGCCAGGTGAGGTGTTTTTCTGTTATTATGTCAGGACTTCTTCGACTTCTTCAAATTGAACTAGTTACTTCTGTGGTTATGATCTAACTTGAAATTTACAGGCGGTTTCACTGGTTGGTGATGCAGAGAAGTACCTTGTGCGCCACGAAGACGCCTTGCGTTCAACTCTTAAACAGCTTTTGTTACAGAAAAATGTGAAGACTGTTAAACAGTTGATTGCTCTGCATGAAGTTCCTGGTCATTTTTCACATCTTCCTTTTTTTTATACATTTCATTAGATCTTATTTTGGGGAATTTGTGCTCGTAACAGTTGATGCTTGGCAATGTTTTGATTTCGAAGCTGATGTCTTATAAATTATTGTTTTGAAATTGTTACATCTTCAATGGATGCTTTTATGCAGATGTTTCTGTGCCACGGTATGTTCGTGTGAATACTCTTAAACTGGACGTTGATTCTGCCTTGCTCGAACTTCAGAAAAATTTCTCGGTATTTCGATTATCTCTGATCATCAAGATTTTATATTTTAGTCAAAATGTTCACTTAAATATATTTCGTTTTATTTTTAGGAAAAGTATCCAAATGAATTCATAAAAAATTCATCACGTGTACTTCATTGATTTGAACTATTGATCCACATTTTTGGTTGATAAGGATTCTTAATTTATTTTGTTTGATAGGTTCAAAAGGATAATCTACTGCCTGAATTACTGATACTACCTCCAGGCACTGATTTACATGATCATCCTCTTGTCAAGGATGGCAGTATCTTCATGCAAGTAGGAATTGCTCTTCCTTTTTTTCTTTCAAAGACATAATAAGTTGTGGATTCATATGATTATCTGTATATGGTTCTCATTGAATAAAAAAACTAATATCTCTTGCTATTTAAGAAATATATTGACATGGCAATTCTGATTGCTTGTTGTTCTTTCTTTTATAATCATTTTACTAACATGGAGACAACCTTCTGTAAAGGGTAAGGCAAGTTCCATGGCAGCACCAGCTCTTAGCCCTCAACCAGGATGGGAGGTGAGTTATTGCTACTACAGAATAATACAGAGAGGTTTCATTAAAGTCATAAATTTGATTCGATCACAGGTGCTTTCTACTTTTTTATTACCCTTGTAAACATCATCTGTTGTCATTTCATCTCTAACCCTGCCCCCTTCATAGTTTGAATCTTTTACATTTTAGCTTGCAACTCTTTCACTTTTCTTTCTTTTTGAAAAGTATTTCTGAAAAGAAAAAGTGTTTCACCTTAAGTAGGAGCGAGCCATTTACTCTGAAATTAGAGGTCAAGCAAATATTTACGCTAACATTTTAACAGATTGTTCTGTTCATATGAGCCAAATTACCTTTCAGGTAGTTGGTCATCCTATCGATGGTTCTGAAGTATTAAAGTGTATTGTTTTCAAGCCATTGTAATGTGTCTACAGAATATTTGTTTTGGCTTTTTTTATATCATCTTTTTTTTTTTAATACATTACCTTGAAATGTTTTTTTTTTCTAATTTACTTATATATATACTCAATAATGATTAATTTTGAAGCATTGCAAAGAAATGGCTAAAGGTTACCATGTGTAAATTAATTACTGAAATATAAGTGAGCAATCACTCTATATCTATGTGCCATATGGTTGCTGTCTGCACTTTTTAACTGCCATGTTATGAATGTTCAATTTGTAAACTAAAGTGATGTTTAATCCGTGAGATATTTTGTTAGTTATTCCAACGCTTATTAATTGCACACCTCAAATATTTTGAAGGTTATTGATGCATGTGCAGCACCCGGAAACAAAACTATTCACCTGGCTGCCCTTATGAGGAGAAAAGGAAAGATTATAGCATGTGAGCTGAAAAAAGAAAGGGTTAAGCGTTTGAAAGACACTATAAAGCTATCTGGTGCTTCTAGTATCCTTTGTTGTAATAATATCTAGATGCTTACTAATAGCCTTTTCAATAAACAATAATAAGTGACTTGAATTTTATTTAAAATGACAGGCTATGCTAGTTAGTTTTCTAGAACCCAGGTCTCTTTTCTGCATATAATGTCTCCACAGTTGACGATCATTAAATTCTCAGACTATTTCTCTACTTAATTTTCATTGGATGGTATGTCAAACTTAACCCCAAGCTCAGACTATTTCTTTAGTTAATTTTCACTGGATGGTATGTCAAACTTAACCCCAGGCTCAGACATACAAGTCCTCAATGAGGATTTCTTGAACTTAAATCCCAAGGATCCTTCTTATTCTAAGGTGACATATATTTCCTATTCTATAGTTAACTATATATATTTTTTTTTTCCATGGAGCATACTGGGGTGGCTACTTATACTTTGACTGATTACTTTGACTTGTAGTCATTATACTTGACCATATGATTAATACATCTGCAGTTTTCTTCTAAACTTCAATATTGCTATTTATGCTAAATTTGTATGCTTTTTGCCAATGTATTTTTGCATTGCAATAAGGATTTAAGGACATTTATTGGGTTTGAGGATTCTGGCATTGTTTGTTGGTCTTGTAATATGTTGAATGCTTTTGGAAACTTGGAATCTGTTAAAAAATGTACACCAGAGAGTGAAAGAGAGATTTTGTTTTCTGTTCATATTTTCTCCTATTGGAGATTGGAGGAGTTAACCTTCACTGGACGGCTAAACCTCCTGTGAAGAACAGAAGCTATATTTTCTCTTATTGGAGGAGTTTACCCTTTTTATGTTCTTACTGAATGGCTGATCGTCATGTTTTAAGAACCTACACTCAGCCTGTCATAGCATCCTAGGTTCTCATTAGTCGAAAAAGGAAAAGTACAACTTATCTAGAGGTTATTTGTTACTTTGTTTTACTGATTGCAGTTTACATCTGTGTGTGTTTGTGTCTAACTATCATTAGATCTATGATGACAGGTGAATGCTATTCTCTTGGATCCTTCCTGCTCTGGTTCTGGTACCGCTGCCTCAAGACTAGACCATCTGCTCCCATCTAAAGCAGGAGGTAATTTTTATTCTATAATGGAGATTGTATCTAGCTTAGGGGTGTCAAAGTGAGCCAACCCGGCTCACACGGGTTGGCTCACCACTGGTTGAGCTGAAAATAGATGAGCTCAACCCGGCTCACTTTTTGGTGAGCCAGAAATTTTACAACCCGGCTCAACCCACCACGGGTTGGTGGGTTAGGTGGGTTGGCTCACTAACCCATATTTTTTTTAAATAATATAAATATAATATATATATATATATATATATATATATATTTCCAAACTTCGGATGTAGAAACTTTTGCTTTTTTCCTTTTTTTCTCAACATCAGTATCTTCATTATTAACTCGAAATTGGCTCATTGGGTTTTTCATTAACAATAAAATCATCACCAACACAATTCACATTGACACTTTGATGCATTGTTTCGATTCCATACTGTAAATTAATTTGAAAGAAAGAAGTCAAAAATTCATATATTAAAGAGATATACGTATAAATCAATAATAAACAACAAATAATGTATAGATGTTACAAGTGGGTACGGTGATGTAGTGATACTGATGAAGATGAACATATGATAAGATAGTGCAGCGACAAAGGTAGTGTTGCTTATAGGGTTTGACTTGTTGTGGCGGCAGCGACAATATAGGATAGAGATGAGGCAGGATAACATTTAGGATAACTGAAGTATTATAATTGTTTTTAAAATTTAAAATATAATTATTAATTAAGGTTAATGTATATTATAATTATTTTTAAAATTTAAAATTAATGGTGGGTTGCGGGCCAACCCACCATAACCCGGCTCGAACCTGTTTAACCCGTGGGTTAAGTGAGTCGGATTCATTTTTAGCCCATAATCGGTAGAAATAAAAAAAAATCCAACCCAACCCGGCTCAAACCCGTGGTGAGCCGTGGCTCACGGGTTAGAACCCATATTGACACCCCTAATCTAGCTAGATGTTAAACTCTATGCATAGGAAATGTTTGTAAAATGCACTTAAATTTACTGTTGGTGTTGAAAAAAAAAATGGTTCGCACATAATAATTTCGTAATTGGTCAAACTTAGTAAACTATAAATAAATGTCATGTAAGACCTGGTTTGAAGTATTGTACAAATTTTTAAAATGTAATGCACGTTAAATATGAAAGTGTTCTTTCTTTTTTTTTGGTATGATGATTTACTTTTTAATTGTAAACATTTGATTCCATAGGGCAGGATACTGATATGGAAAGATTGAATAAGCTTGCAACTTTCCAAAGAAAGGCTCTTCAGCATGCTTTACTTTGTGAGTTAGTTCGTTTCCTCCTTGTCGGTCAGTTCATTTTATCAATCTTCCTGGTTCTACATTTTTTAGAAACTTAATAACAGTCTTCAAATTCTTGTTGGAGCAGCCTAGTCAGTTTCTTTTTCTAAACATTTCATTCCTTATTATACACATTTCAAAATTGAACATAGATTTTAACATTTTTGAAAATTTCGAAAATTAGAAATATTCCAAAATTTAGAACTGTTTCATTTCGCAGTTCCAGCTCTTGAAAGAATTGTCTACAGTACATGTTCAATCAGCCAAATTGAGAATGAAGATGTCATCAAATCTGTTCTTCCCATAGCCAAATCATATGGATTTGAATTGGCAAAGCCCTTCCCCGAGTGGCAGTGTCGTGGTCTTCCTGTGTTTGAAGGCTGTAAGTACTAATTTTAGATAGCACCAAGAGTTCCTGATCTATCATTGTTTTACACCGTCTGATTTTTAACGCTCTATATTTACCTTTCAGCTGAATGCCTGGTTCGGACCGATCCCGCTAAGCATGGCGAGGGTTTCTTCATTGCTTTGTTCGCTAGGAAAGATGCAATCTCTTCGAAGTGTTCAAATAAAAATGAAACTAGAATCTTTCACAGCACTCCCGGAGTAAAAAACACGAGAAGAACGAAGAAACGCATACCGTTTATTAGCACTAACCCATTCAAAACGTGGTTATATGACCAACTGAAGTTGTAGTAGTCAAAATTGGAGATACAAAAGAAGTGACCAACATTAAATTATAGTACTTTATCCTTCGTACGCATAAAACCTATTTATAGAATGGATTAAATTGAATTTTTATTGAAAAAATTATATATTTTAAATTTATTTTGACGGCATTAGCCCATTTTGTTTCTTGCCTATCTATTAATATAGATTGAGTTTGCCTGGGCTAAAAGAGGACTGTTCCTTGTTATCCACCTTAGTATTCCGAACCTTAGAAGTTGCATCATGATTCATGCGAGATGAGAGAGATGACCAATTATCAAAGTGGTTTGTTGGCTTGTTAGATTTGTTGTATCTTTTGTAATTATTAAATAAATAATATGTAAATGAAATATAACTTCAACTCATCAAATGTTGTTGAGGTTCTCAAGTATAGTATGTTATGTTGTATCACCCCCTCCTTTCATGTATGTCATTATTCATTAATCTCCTTTTATTAGACTTATCGATCAAGCTGGCAACTGGTTCATGATCCATATCAATTCCTTTATGGAATCAATGTCAATCCATTTTTCTTCGGGCGGGTTGATAGCCAGTTTGAGCATGTGGAATTGTTTTATTATTTTCAGGATGTGCTCTGATCTGTATAAGGCATTTTAGAAATTAGAAATCAGAGGAATTAAAGAAATTAAAATTCATTCAAAAGCATGGATTACCGTTCAGATTACATGCATAACTGAAAACAGAGACACAAGGAAAGACACAAAAACATATAATCTCATACAGAACAGGAAAACAGGGATAGAGATAACTGCACTGCAAACACGTTGGTTCGGTTCGATCCTCAAAGTCAAGAAACTTAGCCAATCTTCACCTCAATTGTCTTGGGCTTCTTGGGCTCAGGTGGAGGCAACTTGTTGACGGTGACGGTAAGCACACCGTCCTGGCAGACGGCAGTTATAGCCTCGGTGTTGGCATTGTCTGGGAGAGTGAACTTGCGCATGAACTTGCCAACCCTTCTCTCCATCCTCAAGTACTTGGCCCCTTCTTTCTCTTCCTCCCTCTTCCTCTCACCGCTTATGAGAAGCACGTTGTCCTCCTCAACTTGCACCTTAATGTCCCCAGATTTCAAGCCAGGCATATCGATCACGAACACGTAAGAGTTCGGATACTCCTTCACATCAGCAGGTGTCGCAGCCATTGCCTTCGCGTCCCGCACGTATGTCCGCGTTGGAGCGCTCAAGTTCTTTTCCGCGTCCTCCGTCAGATCCATGATTCGGTGCAGAGTGCTGAACAATGGAGTGTCCAAATCCATCAACCTGATATCCATTGCCTTCACTTCCGCTCTTGGAAAAATAACCGTTCTTAACGTGATTTTCTATCGGGGACTTCGATTCTGTGCTGAATCGCGGGTGCATTTTGGGTATTTATAAAGGTGACGGGAATAGAATGGGAGGTTCCAGAGAGAAACTGGAAGGGTGAGTAGGAAGTTCGAGGAGGTTCGCCACTTAATTCCCATGCTTCTAGTAGGGTCCAAAATGCGCGGCTGTCTCTTTCATTTCTTAAAAGTCCAAAATTAATTATCCCCTTCTTTCGCCTCTCTCGGGATCATAAAACAAAGGCCCCAATTATTTATTGGACTTTGCTCCGGCCCATTTTTCATTTCGCATCCAAGCCCATCCTCCCCATTTTTCATGAGTTATTTTTTAGGTTTGTCTTGACTTGTAATAGGAACATAAATATTTTAAACATATAAATTCATATAATTATTTTCCCTCTCTATATGTATATAACAAAGAGAGGCAAAAGAGGAAATAGATTGGTGCAGTAGTAGTAGTAGTAGTAGTAGTAGTAGTAGTAGTAGTAGTGGCATTGTTTTTTAAGGGTGTCTTTTCCTTCAATGCCATGATACGTGCTTCTCCACAACCATGCCTCCCTTCCACGTGCCTCACTGTTTCACACCCTACTCAGACACACGTGGTTACACCTGCCCCTTCTCCTCCAATATTAAAATTATTTTACAATTATTTTATTTTCGCTCAATAAATTTATCCACGCTTATGCTGATATGCTCCAACTAAAGCGTTCCTTCGTATATAAGCCTGACACCGCAGAATTATATTTTATTACAAAATTGTAAATTTTTAATACAGAATCAAACATTTTATGTGACAATAATTTGCAACGCTGGATGTCATCAAATACATAATTCGTTATACGTGAGTTGAATTGTATAAGAATGTTCAATTTTTAAAAAAAATTACAAACACATGGCGGAAAAGTTTATCAACGACTTTTAAGATATATTTTACAAAAATAATATCCATACAATTTTATCTACAAAATTACAAATAGGAACTCACAAAAATTAAGACGTACGATGATAGGATTGCTCTGTCCATTATTTTTTAAATTGATTAATTAAGCACGATATATTTCATAAATAAAATTTTTATATGTATTGTTAATATAAATTTTTATAATAATGCTTTTATTAACAAATTAACAAATAATCTGCACTAACCATACAAATAAATTAAATTATTTGGTATAATTTAATATTACCGTCATTGTTTTGTCGGGCTCCAGCAACCAAACTCATTTCTTGGGCCCACCTTTGTTTTTACATCTTTATTTTAATGTTTTTATTTCATAAAATAAAAAGTCATTATATTTTTTTAACCAATCAAAATCATATTTGTTAGGAATAATTTATAGATTTAAATATCATTTTTCAAAATAATAATTTATAATAAAATAAAAGTTGTTGAATTGTTTTGATATTATTTTGATTATGGTGATTCCTAGTCACCACTTGGCTTAAGAATGAGAACAACTTTAACATGTTAGCAACTTATCTTTATTGAATGAGAGTATGTTGTATGCGGATGAATGCTTTTATTTATGTAGAGAAGATACATAGTGAATTAGGAACATTTATTATTAATAATGTTTTATTAGGCATATAATGTTTTTCAAGGCAAAAAAAAACAACAACATTGGACTTAAATAAATTTTATTTTGGATGCAAGATGCTTAATTGAAACGGAAAAGGCAAAATTAATGAAATTAAAAAAAAAACAATAAACTATGTCACAAATGTCATGTAAAAATGTGATATTAAGACTAATTGGTACACGGTAGGAATTTTATTGACCTACTTAAATTATTGACGATATACTTTTTATATAAGTTTTTTTTACTCAATATACTAAAATTTGATATAATTATATTTAAAATCACAATCAAATTATATATAATACTTCAAATATAATTAATTAAAAAATTTAAAACAAATAAATCACTCATTACGGTACAATTGGTTGTATATTCGGTCAACGCATACAGAATCTTGATATAATAATAAAAATAAATTATTCAATTCATAAAAAAAATTTAAGATATGTATTACCACAATATATATTTTTTTAATTTGTCTGAAGATGTGTTTTTTATCATTTTCACTAATTAATAAATTTATATTTTAATTTATTAACAAATTATCTATGATTAATGATTATGTTAGAATAATATAATACACATAATAAAATAAGTTCAGTTATTATGAAGCATGTACTATCCACAACGGTTGTTAACAAAAATTATTAATAATGATAAATTTAATAATTAATGTATATAGTTGCATATAATTAGTTGAATAAAATAAAATTTGAAATATGCTTAAAATTTTCTTTTTATACTTATGTTAAAAATTCTGCATGTTATACCGGTCAAACTACTGAATAAGGTTTAATATCATAATAAAAGCTACCAATACGATAAAATGAGAATAATATTGTTTTTATTGTAAATATTGTTGGATTAAATAATTTATTATTTAAGTATGTGATGGATTTTTTAAATAACATGCAGATTTTTTTAATTTTGACTTGTGTAAATAATTTTCAATTATAAAGAATTTATAATTTATAATTAAAAAATAAAATATATTTCAACTTACACCTATATATAACTTTGATTTTTAATATATATTATACTATTTAAAATAAATTATAAGAATAATAAAAGTACAATTATCTTAGAAAATAGATATGTATCTTTATTGCATTTTTTTCTCTCGATTTGTATACTTGATATTCCAAATTTTTTTTTATTTGATTAATCATAATATACTTTCGATTAATTTCTTGTTTATTTAATTTAATATCTTTTTATTATGATATAGCATTTGAAACATTTTTTTAATTATAAATATTTAAATTTAACTGATTTTCTTTTTCGTTATATATAAGTAATAATATTATTATTATTAATATTATAACTGAAGATAATTAAATAATATAATAAAATATCAGACAAGAATATATTAGAATCATAGTAAAATGACTCCGAAGTTGAATTGTATCTAAAAGCGAATTAAAAATATTAATGCGAAATTTAAAATTTGAGTGAGTATTTTTCATTGCATGTTACAGCAAAAATCCCAACCCAACTGCATAAACAAGATAGTTAAGACCGAGTGACATTCACGAAAAAGTATGAAAAAAAAAAAGTGATTAGTTAACACTCCTATTAATCTCTACTCCCAATCTAAAAATAATAATAATAAATTTAAAATTTTATTAATATTTATCAATATTATATTACTAAAGCTGATCGTGGAATATATTTGTATAGAAACAGTGGTGTCAATTTATATTTTAAAAAAAATTACAATAATACTTAGCCACCTGTTACTTCTGCTAAAACAACTTTCTAACATTTCGTTCTTATCATTATCGTCCTTGTAATCTTCGTGTTTGTACCACATCCTCCATGCAGAACAATAGCGTGAGTTTTCAGTTACAATGAAAATACTCGATGTCACAATTATTACTTATATATTCTTATATGAAAAATTAATATAACAAATACTTATTTAATCAGTCCAATTAATCCACTAAAATGTTTTTAAGATTAAAAAGACTGTATTCAAGGTAGGTAAAACCAAACAAAACTAATAAATAGGAAATAAATCCAACAAAGAGAGTAGTATATAAATTTGGAAGAAAAGACATCTACATTTAATGTTGTATAATGAATGAAAAAAAGAAATAATGTGGAAAAATGTGCATATAAAAAAAAAATGAAGAATTTGAAAAGAAGGGAAAGGCACCGATGGCTAAATCCGCAGCAATGATGATGCCGCTTGGGCATGGCATGGTCCCCCACTGTAATGCCTCCATAACACTCTCCTTTCCTTCTCCTTCATCCTCCAAAATCACCTCTCTCAAATCTTCATTCCACACAAAAACAATCTCCAGCAAACTTTTACTAACACTTTTCTTTTCATTACAAAAAATAATTAAAGGTTACTAAATAGCAGTAAATAAAAATTAAAAATCACCTAGACATAGACCGACACGTGTCTATTACCTTGATGCCAAACCCTCTCTATAATTCATATCATCACCCTTCCATTCTTCACTCTCTAGCACACACAACAATCCGTGATTCCCCCTTTGAAAACTGGTATTGCCACGCCCTCTCGAAGTTCATTGTTCTTGAATAGCTACCGCCATTAGATTTTTCTTCTAACCTTTCTCCCCACTACGCCATATCCTATAAAGCTGCTTGATTAAGAGATGAACAACTGAAAAACCATCACCATGACACCTTTGGTAAGACCTATACTTCACTCTCATCAACCCTGTTTCTGTCACAATAAATGTTTCACTCTTTCACACTGATCCATCCTCGCTCCCAAATCTCCCTAGCCAGAAAAAGAAAGCACCAGACACTTCATCCTTTTTATTATCCCTAATCTTAACATCCCCAGGGTTTTTTTTTTTTTCTTTAACAAAGCGAAAAGGAAACCCTACCCTTAAATTCTCAGAAGTGGCGAAGATGAGTTTGGGCACCGCGGAGGATGATTCGGGTTCCGAAATCCACATCCCAGCGGAGATTGACTGGCACATGTTGGATAAGTCCAAGTTTTTCTTCCTCGGCGCCGCCTTATTCTCTGGCGTTTCCTTCACGCTCTACCCCATGGTCGTGTTGAAGACGCGCCAGCAGGTTTCCTCTTCGCGCTTCTCGTGCCTTAACATGTCTTGCGCCATTATGCGCTACGAGGGCCTCAGAGGCTTCTACAAAGGCTTTGGCACTTCCCTAATGGGAACAGTTCCCGCGCGTGCGCTCTACATGGCCTCTCTTGAAATCACAAAAAGTAACGTCGGCACTGTTTTTCTAGAATTGGGGTTCTCCGACACGACGGCGGTGGCGGTGGCTAATGCTGCCGCGGGTGTTACTTCGGCCATGGCGGCGCAGCTGGTGTGGACGCCGGTTGATGTCGTGAGTCAAAGGCTCATGGTTCAGGGGAGTGGAGGGAATAAAAGCATTCTTGCGAATCTCAATTCTGAGAGTTACAGGAACGGGTTTGATGCGTTTAGGAAGATTCTGTATGCTGATGGAGCAAGAGGGTTCTACAGGGGGTTTGGGATTTCGATATTGACTTACGCCCCTTCCAATGCGGTGTGGTGGACTTCTTATTCCATGGTTCACAGACTAATTTGGGGGGCTTTTGGTTCCTACAGGAGTAAGGGTAAGAGTGAAAATTTGAGTGGTTTTAGGCCTGATTCGAAGACAATGGTGGCGGTTCAAGGGCTGAGTGCTGTTATGGCTAGTGGGGTATCTGCAATAGTAACAATGCCTCTTGACACGGTTAAGACAAGGTTGCAGGTGTTGGATTGTGAAGAGAATGGGAGAAGGAGGCCTTTAACTTTTGTTCAGACCGTGAGGAATTTGGTGAAGGAAGGTGGATTGCTTGCTTGTTACAGAGGATTGGGACCAAGATGGGCTTCCATGTCATTGTCCGCTACAACTATGATTACTACTTACGAGTTTTTGAAAAGAATGTCTACCAAGAGTCAAGAGGATTTGACTCCTCGATAAGCCAACCAAGTGAAACATTGTTAGGAATTGCAGATTAGAATTAAGAATTAGGATCACTTGTTTCTTCGCTTGCAAATTTCTTTGTCCTTTGTATTACTGAATCTCATCTGTGTATACAACTTTTCTTTTTCTTCCTATGGATCTTTTACCAAATACCAACACCTATTATTTTTTAGGACTTGTCTTTTGGATTTTATAAGTATTGGTCTTTGTGGTGAATGGGGCTATGGCCTTTGCGGATTGCAGGGGACGCAATACAGATCAGAGAAAATTAAAAGTTTCCTTCGAGTTATGTATTTTAGTTTTCTTTTATTGTTTGCTTTGCTTTATATTTACATTACCAAATTCATAACTCTATTGTAAATTGTAAGGTGGTGTCGGGAGTTATGATTGAAAATCAGATGAAAGTACGGTAAGAACATTATCATTTCATTTGGTAAAGATGAGAAATTGTTGATGTGATGTGATAGTTTATGCTAAAATATCAAGTAAAAATACATTATTTCTGACTCTGCCCTCCAAAAGAAAAAAGAAAATTTATTACGCACTAAATTATTACTTTGGTTTCAATACAAAAAGTTTCTTCCTACTAGTCAATCCTATTATTATATATTATATGATGGACACAATAATCCCAATAAGATTTTGATAAAAAGTACAGATAGTTAAACAAAATTACTACATGCTTGTTTTAGAGTACCGAGTTTAGAATCTATGATGTCAAAAATGGAAATTATTAAATATAATTTTAGTTTGAATGTTGATGATGAATTTATATGTATCTGATATATATAATCACAGCAAGGGCAGATAGCAAATTGCATGAGAAATGAAGGGAAGAAAGAGAGCATAGTGTACCAACCAGACAACCAGTGAGCACAGCTGCACCTCCTGAATCTTGTCCTTTCTTAAAACTAGGGGCTGAAGAGGAAACCATTTTTTCAATCTGCCATGTCCCATAAAACAAATTATGGAACCAATTTATATTTCTGTGGACTGACATGTGTAAAAGCTGAACCTGTACAATGAATTAGCATTCCTATGGATAATTGATGAGCAAAATCTGTGGGTCAATCCCTTGAAATTATGAGCCAGATCTCTTCTAGTGTGAAACCGTTATCATGGCAATGGACAGAAATTTAACCGAAGAGACAGTGACAAATAATACAACGGATGTATAACCTGACAACCTTGTTTTTGTAGGTTACAACTTACAAGGATAAAAGCTGCTGCTTCTTCTCCCCCTTCCAGACAAACACGGTTAAATACTCCGACAGCAATGGAGGTTACCATCACCTTCTGAGGACATTTTTCCATTCGTTTGAAAAATGATTTTTGCAAATAAAATTTAGTGGTTGCGTTGTCACCGTTGCTTTTCACCGCAATTTTTTAAAAAGTTTACAATCCTGCTGGAAACATATGTAAAATTACATGTTCTGAAGCTTTCAATCACAATTCAAAACGTTTTTCTATAACTTAAAATAGTTTTATTTATTTGTTTGACTAAATTAAAAACAATTTTATATCATATAAAAAATCTAATTTAATATACTATTTAAGATAAATACAGTGATGAGATAACAGCCTAAAATAATATAATTTTTTAAAATATTATTATTTATAATAAGATTGCTTTTCCTTTTTTTAACAACAAGAGGATAGAATATTAAAGTGATATATTAGCTCAAAACTAATGGTCCAATTATATCAAATTATTGAATAGGAATCAAATAGACATTAAGAATAATAATAACTAGATAAATACACTATCAATAGGAACTTTATAATATTAAAAAAATATTTTATATTTTCTGAATATTTAGGATATGGTCAAACTATATTTAAAATAAATTGATTTTTCAAGCATTAAAAAATTATAAAATTTATAATTAAAAAATAAATACATATTTCTATGCTTTTTTCTAATTTTTTTTATCTTATATTCAATATTATTTTTTTAAAAATATGAATAAATAGTTGAAATTTAAGATACAAAACTTAACTCTGACTTGACAGTAAAAAATAATAAATTTAAAGGATGAATTAGAATCAAACTGAAATTGAAATTAGAATTCAAGGGTCAATTAAAATGTAATATTGTCTGTTTATAAATAGGGTAAAGTTTGATAGATAGATTTGACTACCTTTTTTGTTTATTTAAAATATAAGTGATGTGCTTATTTGAAGAAAATATATCTCTTTAAGGTAATTATAAAGAAAATCTTAAAATTATTTTTTTAAAATAATTTTTTTAAAATAATTTTTCTATTATTTATCTAATCCACGGGCAATTCCAGCCACCTTAATTTATTCTGTGAGCTGCTGAATCCAGAAAAAAGAAAAAAGTTGAATGGAACTGAAAAAGTGAATCATATGCACAAGTAAGTTCTCGTTTTTTTTTCTCTCTTTTAATGACTTTGTATATAAAGAGAATTAAGAAAATTATTATTCTATTAATTTTTGTGAAGATTGGTGAGGATGAATTTCATTGTCATTTCCTCTTTATTGCATAACTTAATCTTCGATTTTTGTTTCTAATAATTTACGTGAAGTTGAACCAGGTTGGCGCTGGTTAACCTTTGTCTAGACTCAAACTAAAATTTTGATATGACAATTTATTTAAATCTAAAACAAAATATAGAATTACGTTATAATCAAGTTTTTAATATAATATATCAATTTTAAAATTAGGTATAATTAAATCAGGGATAAAAGAAATATAAAACTTAATTAAGCTATATGATAGATGTTTTAGAATAAATAAAATATCATGTAAAAAATATTATTTACTAAATAGTTTAATTTTTGTATTGATACACAAAGATATTTTTAAAAGTACAATCACACTGTAAGAATATTAAAAAAATTTAAAATATATCAAATCTATTTTCAAAAAGTAAACCATCCAAATTAATATGTTAAATATGGACGAAATTAATTAGCAGAATTGGGTTATGGCAATAATGGTTTTAAATATATAGTTTATTTTATAAATTATTATTTTTACAAATTCGAGAATTTCTTATAAAATTGTGTATCGTAGTATACTTTCGAATACTTCAAAATACCTTTTTTAAGATATAGTTTGAATACTACAAAATACTTTTAATGAGAAGTAGTGGGTAATATGTTTAGAGTATTTTAATTCTTTAATTAGATGTTATTGTTGTATTTTGTTTCTTTAATCAGATGTTTTGTAAAAATACTTTGATACTCAAATCACTTAAAAAAAATATAAATGTCAAAAAATATGCAAAATATATAAATTCTTATATCATTTATTTATAATTCTTTTGATGAATTTTCTGTTTATAAGTTTTATCTTGTTTTAATTATTATATTTTTTTTATCTTATATATGTCATGTGTTACTTTCATCACATGACTACCGTAAATATCACATAAACCTAATTTACAATTATCATGATAAAGAATACGCCCATATTTGAATAAAAATCTCAATCTCATGTACCTGTATATGAGTCCAATACGTTAAAAAATAAATATGAAAATCAAGATAGTATTTACTAAAATCAACCCATAAGTTAATATGAGGCTCATAAATTAATTTATAATATTTTAAGTTTATAAATGCTCTCATCTTATAAGGCAGTGAAAGATTATAAACTAATTGATTAAATTAGTATATATTATAAAATAGTTTCCGAAGTAACTTTTTTTTGGTTTGAATAGTTATAGGATTAACTAATAAAATAAAATGATATGAAAGTAATATTTATTAAACTTTTTGAAACAATTGTTTTCATTTTTGTAATATATATATATATATATATATATATAGTTTAATATAGGTTTAAATATATTTTATTGTTTTAAATTTGCATTAATCTTTCATTATTTTTAAAGGAAATGTATTTAATTGAAATAATTCGAGTGTGTTAAAATAGTTAAAAAGAATAACACAAAGTTGATTAAGAAAATACTAAAACATGAAAAAGGAAGTATATTTGTCGAAAAATGATGAAAAAAGAAAATAAAGTTACAAACTGTAAACTACGGGCTAACTTATTCTATTATTCATAAACTAGAAACAATGATATTACCGGCAAAACACAAAATTAACCCAAGATTAATATAGGTTTTTTAATGATGGTCTTTCTTAAATGAGATGAAAGACATTACAGACACCACTAGGACTACGGAAATATGTGGTAGACAGAATAGAGCGTAACTTAGATACCTAATAAAAATCCGAAATAAACCCTAACTAGTAAATAAATTAGCAGTCACAATTATCCATATTTTGGATAGAATAAAGAGCACCCAGTATAAATCTAAAAAACAAATAATCAGTCACAAATATCTCAAATTTGAAGTACCTAATATAAATCTGAAATAAATAAACTAGAAACTACAATTGACGAGCTCTCTTGTTGCTGCAAGATGGACATTTGTAGTGCTTGATACTCTCAGCCTTCGCAGGGGTAATTTTCACGCATTTCCCATGAAACCACGTCTCACACATGTCACAGCAAATCCAGAACTCCTCAGCATCAGCAGCAAAGTTCTGTCCACATGCTCCACAAAGTGTCTCTCCATGCTCTTCTTCTTTGTCCTCTAGCAAAGCATCCTCTTCCTTTGATTCCATTGCTTTTAAACACTTTTCTTGTGATTCAGAACCTTTCTGCAATTGTCAAACCAAAAGACATTATCTAAAGGTGTGAAAAATACAAATTTGGTCCCAGTATCTCATTCCAGACTGTACAAGACTTTTTAGGTCTATAAGAAAGATTATACGACCTTCTCACCTCCTCAAATGCATTATTACTGTTGGATATAACAAACATAGTTTATTTTGTTTAGATATAACTAACAATGGTAATACATTTAACTATGCACAATATTCATTTAGTTTCAGTTCAAATGTTAGCATCTAGAAAGCAATGCAGTCTGTGATAGTTCATACCCTTCCGTCCAAAACAAGAAATTCTCTTACAATATGAGCATTAAAGTTCAAATACACTAAATAATCCAAATCTTCCATTAAATTGAAAAAAAAATATATATAATTAGTTTCATTATAAAACTAAAGGTATGTCATCTACCAACAATCTATCGTTAACGGTTAGTATGTTTGTTCACTAGCAGGAGCTCAAAGAGGTCAAACTAACCCAAATCTTGTATCTAATTAAAAAACGTAATTAGCTTCATTGTAAAACTAAAGCTATGATATCAGCAAACAACTACCAATGATTAGTTTATTTTATCAGCTTGTATACCTTAGAGTTTGATTTAGATTTGTTATTGTAACGATTAGAAACTGATGACTTTTCCTTTCCTTGTTTCTTGGGCTTCCCTGCAACAACCTCAAATATTGTTGGAAGATCATTTATCATACTAAAAAGATTCTTCCTGCACATGAAGAATGAAATACAGATATTAAAGGAATATAAAAAAAAATATATATAATATATCAAATTAACTACAAAAAGAAGAGGGTAAAGAATCAAAATTAATGCGAGGTTGCAAACTGAAATACTCTGTCATCAAAGATAATAAGGAAAAATCAACATTTCAACAAAATCAGTATTAAAGAGAGGGTGCAAACTGAAACACTAATACTAATGCTTCATTGATTTAATTCAGGCACCGATAAATCAAAAGAATAACTTGTCCATAGCAAAATACATGATAGAGGGTAAAATTTTAGAAAATAATATGCAAAACAGTATCCAGGCATCCTAAAAGTTGAACCTAAAGGTGTGTCACTGAAGATCAAACATATATTTAAAGATCAAACCAAATGTTATGTTCCAATAAATAGTGAAAAGGAAAACAGTTACCTATCAGTCTTATCAAACCCAAATCTAGTACCAAAAAACAGAGCCACAGCCATTAGCCATGTATCACTGTGCACAGCAACCAAGGATAGCCAGTCCTTTTCTTCCATCCCGTCTCTGGCAAAGTTAATACCTAATGCTGGCTCTGGAAGTTCTGGAGGAACCTCCTCAGCAGGAAGATTGACTTCCCAGTTCTCATTAGGAAATCCATATAGACAAAGATTTTCCTTCTCTGTATTACAAAAGCTCATACAAATAAATTAGTTATTGAAAATTCGTAAGTGTACAAATAAATGTGACGCACTCAAGCCGTGTACACCACACAGAAAGCTAGGACAAATGGCAATGAAAAAAATCTAGAATGAAACTAAAATTCAGATTCGTACAACCCAGTAGACATGAAGGATAACTTAATAAAAAACATTAAAATAAAGTCATCTATCAAAGATCCATTTCATCCGATTTCAGTTTGCAAGAAAAGTGGTCAACCAAGCAAAAACTTTGGTCCAAGTACCAAAAAAGAGGCAAATTTAATTGAGTATACAAACGTTCCCTTCCCAATTCAGCCGTGGCAGTAACACGTTATGGTAAGAATGTGAACAAAGCAAGTAGAAAAAGAAATTCAATTTCAACTAGATGTACTGAACGATTTATCATCAGATTCACGTCGAACTAGTTTGATATAAAGAAAAATATTTAGGGAAGGAAATAATCACCACAAATCATATAAAAAATATCCTGAAGTACTCAAATTTCATTGCATAACTTTAGAACCACAAGGATTAATAATGCAATTTGAAAGAGAAAAAAAAAACACGAATTATATAACCAAGCAGGACATTTAACAAGCATTATAGAATTAATCAGGCAAAATCAAATACGAAAACAAAAGAAAAATCAATTGAATACATGTGGCTTCAAGAGAGAATAAGGTAAAAAACCGTAGAGAGACGCAAAAACAAAAATACCTGGATCACACTGCTGATAGAACAATTCAACATCTGCGTAAGAGAAAAGGGTTAAGGAGAGGAAGAAAGGCGTAATTGAAATTGAAAAGTAAGAATTAAGAAAGAAATTGATGGGTACCGGTGGTGAGGGCCTTAAGAATGGCGGCTCTGCGGCCCTTGAAATCTCTGAAGACCTCGAGAACAGAACGGGGATTGTAGGAAGCTCCTTCTCCTGCGTCCATGTGTTGAAGAGACTGTGTTCAGTTGAAAGAAAAGATGGAGGGAAAGGAAAACAAAGATGCCAAACTCTTTCACCACCCCTTCTTCTCTCTCTTCTCTCTATCTTCTATCTACAAAGAATTGTAACAAATTCAATAAGTTAATCCTACTTATAAAACCCTACCAACAGAAACCCTTAAGGGAGGGCTTTTGTAATTGGATATAACCCTTTTGAAATTTCACCAAAATATTTTTCATATGGGAATAAGGATTATAGATAAAGATAAATTGAGTTTTAAAATTTAACCTAACTTTAAAAAATAAAATAAAATACGATAATCTCATTGAATAAAACCATATGATATGACCCAAACGTACATTTTTGTTGAAATTTAAAAATGAGAAAATTTTGTTTCAAAATATTTTTTTTATTAATATAATATTAATATTTATAATTGGAAATAGGTTATTTGATATTAAGATATTATCTCTCTTTTAAGATATAATTAATCTATTTATTTTAAATAAATTAAAAACAAACCAATTTTTTAAATTTAAAAGTTTGTAATAACTAATCTTAATTTTACTTTTTTTTCAATTACAAAAACTTGAAAATGTACATCTAATTGGATTCTATAATATTATCAATTCAATAAATATTTTTTTTATTTTTAATTTAAAGAAAAAACAGACCTCTTGTTAATAATATTAGTTTTAACGAGGAATATAACATTTTATATTCAAATTACATTTTATAAATTCTAATAAATATTTTTAAAAATTAATAAAGCTGTAACTGTTTAATTCTTTTTATTTTACTATATTTAAATAGTAATATATATATATATATATATATATATATATAATAATCACGTATAGAACAAATCTTGATTTTATTTTACTTATTCTTTTTCAATTATTGAAATTTACATAATAATGATTTTATTCTTGTTACTTGAATTTTGTAAGAGATCACACAAACTGAAATTTAAATGAATAAAAACAGTATCTCATTTAGAATATTTAAGTTAGAGTATAAGGATTAAATATTTGTTAATTTAAATATAGATATAAATATATATATATATATATATATATATATATATATAGAGAGAGAGAGAGAGAGAGAGAGAGAGATTGAAGAGTTTATGTGATTTGATTAAAAAGAAAATACTCCTTGTTTGTACAAAAAATAGTTTATCTTGACAAATTGGAAAAATGTGTATTATAAAAATCAAATATATATCTCAATCACTTATTCTTATGCTGAAAGAGAGGACAATATATATAATAGAAGAAAATATAAAAGAAAAAATATATCTATCTAGATTGAGAGAAAATGTTTGTCACTGGGATACAATAAGTTTGGAAAGAATTTGTTTAAACTGAATATAAATAAGAATATTATTTTATAAAAGATAAATCAAATTATAATATTAGTGGAGAAGTAATATACATTGAAGAGTAAAACAGAAAATCAAACATTATCTGTTATATAATGTTATCAAGGTGTTATAGGATTAACTGATAATATGGAGCATAAAGTATAAATTGGAAAGCTAATACTAATTATATGGGTTTCATTTTATTTTAGAATTTCAAAAAGCTGCTAATATTAATCAATAATCATGGTAAATAAACACGAGAATTTAGTTCAAGTTTTATCCTATTGTGTTTTTTTTTATTAAAAAAGAAAAAAAATGACTACATATCGAGAGCTATTTTTTTAACAAGGACAACTTTTATTTCAACTCAAATACACATATTTTGTAGAAAAAAAAAAAGAGATAGCAATTAATATCTTCACAGACACTGAAACACTAGAAAGTTAAAATTGAACCACTTCAGTTATTAATTGTTGAAATCTTCGAATTCCTCTAGAGTTGTTTCCTTACCACTTCGCAAAGTTTGTCACCTATATATGATGTTCAGAGCAATTCAGATAAGAAAACCAATTTAGTTAAAGGAGATACTAACAGATTTCATGCAATGAACCTTTCTTTGCTGCCAATAAGATATACTTTCTAACCAGATTTCAAATTCGCTATATAGCTAAATGGAAGATACCGCTCAAACCATTCAATGTCATCGTTTTTATTCTCTTTATCTGCGCCCAAACACAAAATTACTCAGTCAAAACTTATATTATAACACATACCTCTATTATACACAAGAAGTATAACCTGATCTCAGCGATTGGGTTTAAAGGTTGAAGCCCTCTTTACTTCTGAGGCTTGGACTTAGGCTACTAAAACCTGAAATTAGCAGTCATAAATGTCCTAAGATACCTAATATAAATCTGAAATAGATTAACTAGAAGCTACATTTGACGAGCTTCATGTTGCTGCATGGTGGACATCTGTAGTGCTTGATATACTCAGCCTTAGCAGGGGTAATATTCACACATTTCCCATGAAACCAACTCTCACAAATTTCACAGCAAATCCAGAACTCATCAGCATCAGCTACATGCCCCACAAAGTGTCTCTCTATGCTCTTCTTCATCGTCCTCTTCCAAACCATCCTCGACCTTTGATTCCGTTGCTTTTGAATACTCTCCTGGAGATTCAGAACCTCTCTGCAATTTTCAAACCAAAAGACATTATCTAAAGGGGAAGAAAATACAAATTTGGTGCCTGTATCTCGTTACAAACTGGTCAAGACTTTTAGGTCTGAAAAGAAGGATTATACAATGCATCCTTTGAATTATGGCGCATCTTTTCACCTCTTCAAAAGCATTAATACTGATGGATATTATAAACAAACAAATATTGGTTATTTTGTTTAGATCTACTACCAACGGCAATACATTCAATTTTGCTGTAGAATTGAATTTCTTTGTCCCAAAATATATATTCATTTACTTAATTCAAAAGTTAACATCAGGAAACGAAGCAAACATCTCTAATGGTACACAATACAGTCTGTGATCGTTCATAACCTTCCCCCTGAAAAAAGAAATCCTCTTACAACAGGAGCATTTGAAGTTCAAATAGGTTAAACTAACTCAAACTCTTGTGTAAATTAAAAAAAAATAAAAATTAATTAGCTTCATTGTATAACTAAAGCTAAGCCACAGCAAACCTGTAGTTTGTTTTCTCCGTTTGTGTACCTTAGAGTTCGATTTCCTTTCCTTTCTTTGTTTCTTGGCCTCCCTTTCAACAACCTCGAATATTGTTGGAAGATCATTTATCATATTAAAAAGACGTCTCCTGCACACGAAGAATGAGAAATAGATATTAATGAAGAAAAAAATTTGCAAACAATATCAAAATAGTAAATTAACTATAAAAATAAGAGGGTAAAGCATTATAAAGTAATGAGAGGGTGCAGTGTGCAAACTGAAACATTCTTATTGTCAAAGTTAATAAGGAAAAATCAGCATTTTACCTAAAGATTGACTTCTCTACCTGAATTTAATATTTATGGAAGTTTTGATTTCCAACTGTAACAAAAATGGAAATGGAATCCAAATCTAGTATTCTTAAAAATATGGATTATGAATTTTGTAAAATGCTACGTACTATTCAATTTAGTATTTGCAATTTAACTCCCTTTCCCAATTAAGGTAAAATCCGCATTGTAACATCTTATAACCTACTGCTTCATGTATTTATCTGAAGCGCCAATAAATCAACAGAACAACTTTGCGCATAACAAGATACATTCAACCCATTTATGGTAAAATTTTAGACAATAAAATGAAAAATAGTGTGTAAACATCCTAACAGTTGACCCTAAAGTTACTGAAGATCAAACATATCCTCTGTTAAAGAAAAAAAAAAAAAACTAGTGTGTAGAGTAAAACAGATACCTATCAGCCTTATCAAACCCAATTTTTGCACCAAAATACATAGCCACAGAAAGTAACCATGTATCACTGCGTATAGCAACTAAGGATAGCCAGTTCTTTTCTGGCGCTAAATCTCTGTTATAGTTAATGCCTGAAACTGGCTTTGGAAGCACTGGAGGCAGCATCTTAGCAGGACTGACTTCCCAGTGCTCGTCAGGAAATCCGAAAAGACAAAGATAATCATTATTTGCTGAATCATAAAGCTCATACAAATCAATTAGAGTTATTAAGAATTCAAAAGTGTACAAATAAGTTTAATGCACTCAAGCCCTCTACATCAGAAAGAAACTAAAATTCAGATTCCTGCAACCCAGCATACATGAATGGTAAATTAATAAAAAATCAGTAAAATGCAGCCATCTATCATATATCAGTTTCATCCATTTGAATTGACAATTAAAGTAGTAAACCAAGCAAAAATTTGTACCCAAGTACCCAAAAAAAGAGACAAGTAAAGAGGTCAACCAGGCAAACATGTGAAGAAGTTTCCGTTCCCTATTCAGCAGGGGAAGTACCACTGTTTGGTAGGAATGTGAACAAAGCAAGCAGAAAAAAGAAGAAGAACACTTTTCAATTTCAACGACATGTATTGAACTATTTATGATCAGGTTCGTGTGGAATTAGTTTAAAAAAAGAAAATTAATTAGGGACGAAAATAATTATTGCACACCATATAAGAAATAACCAGAAGTGCTAACATTCGGCTTTCACTACACACCACGTTAGAATCAAAAGGCATAATAACATAACTTGATAAGGAAAAAGAAAAAGAAAAACAGAAAGATTTTGTAGCCATGTAGGGAATTTGCTAAGAATTAGAGAATTAGTCAGGTAAAGTCAAAATACAAGTGGAAAGAAAGGAGAGGACGGAGGGATTCAAGAGAGATGAAGGGAAAAAATCTTGGAGAGACGAAGAAAAAAAAGTACCTGGATCACACTTCTGATGGAACTCTTTATATTCTAGAAAATAAAAATTAAAAAAAAAAAAAAACGTTAAGGAGATGAGGAAAAGAAAAGAAAGGGTTAATTAAGAATTGAGAATGAAGTTGATGGATACCGGTAGTGAGGGCCTTAACAATGGCAGCTCTGCGGGCCTTGAAATCTCGGAAGATCTTGTCAACGGAATGGGGATCAGAGAGAGCTCCTCCGGCTGCTTCCATGTGTTGGAGAGACTCTGTTCGGTTCAAAGAAAAGATTGAGGGAAAGGCAAACAAGAAAAGATGGAGAAACTGTCGATTTCGCACACAAATTCTATACGTTAATCCCTCTTTATAATAACCTATCAGCGGAAACACTTACGCGGGAGTTTGGTAAATTAACAGTTATGCCTAATACTTGTATTTATGGATTTTTTTTTTTCAAATTATCAAAATGAACTGAAACCATAAAACATTTTCTCAGGTTTAACTCATTCAATTTTTTCATTTTTATTTAACATGGATTTCAAGTCACTTGAATTTCAACAATCTTCCATTGGATCCGTGAAGAGAATTTTACGCTTCTTCGTCGACCAAACCCGTTTTCCAAGTTAGGATAGGAACTCCTCCTATGGTAAGATCATTATCGCCATAGCCTGTTCAACGCCAAAGGATCATTTTGTTGTGCATTTCGTTGCAGGGGCAGTACATTTGGTTGAGCATTGAACATATAAAAAAAAGGGGTCTGGCTCCATACAGTTATGGATAAGTGGACTTTCAAATGAGTCAGAATCATAGGAATCAAATTCGGAGGATCTATTACAATTATTATACATGGATGGTGTGTTTAATCACGATGGATTGGAGACACTTAATCACGGTATTGGGAAAATGGAAACTAAGTATAAAGACAGTCTAACCTTGCTAAATACCTAGATTTACCTTAATATTGAAATTTTTTGCTGATATAGAATTTACCAAATCGTTTAATATTCAAAATATGGATCATCTTAAGAAAAAGTGTAGAAGTTTGATCACTTTGCTTCACTGTCACTTGTGCTTGAAAAACAATGGTTTAGATGGACATTTCTACGCAATTATGCAGCAAAGCACAATATAGTGAAAGCCTTAGACTATAAAAAATGCAGTGTCACTTGAAACCAGGTTTTGTGGCAGAAACCTGTTTTGTGTAACATCCTTATCAGTATCTCTAGTTCCTTAAATTTTGACAAAATTTTTATTAAAATTTTAATAATTAAATTATTAGGGATTGGGAAAATTGACTATAGAGTTTTATGTTTGTTAGATTATTTGTAATTTTGTGGAAATTTTCTGGAATTAAAAAAGAAAATAAAAGAAAATAAAATAATAATATATCAAAAAAAATAGATTTTGACTTTTAAAAAGACATTCTCCCTGTAACTTCCAGTGAATTCTTTCTTTCTCTCATTTCTTGCTTTCTCTCAAACCCTCCTCACTTTGAAGTTTGATTTTGAGGGGGAAATATTGATTTTCTTGAGAAACTCCAAGAGGTAAATTTGTTTCTCTCAATCTCCTCTACATTTCTACGGTTTTATTTTTCAAAACAGTGCATTTCAAATTTTTTTCTCACTTGACTAAGCTTGAATAGGAGTAGAAAGAGTGTTATTGTAGGTTTTACCCCTAGGATACTAGAATAATACTTAGAATTGAGGATTAGAAGTGATTAAGCTACAAATCTTAAGCACCCTAATTCGTAAGTCACTGTTCATTGAATTTTGGGACTTGTGTGAACAGAATTAAGAATTGGTATTTTCATAAAAGTTGTAGCCCTTTAAGTTATCAAAATTTAGAAACTTGTTTCACATCAAAAGGATATTTGTAGCTCAAGTTATATCCATTTTACTGTCAAGTGTTATAACTGTGAAGTTAAGAGATTGCCCTGTTTCAACAGCCTCGGTTTTTGAATTACTGGGATTGATACGTGTGAAATTAGGACTTGATCCCTTCATAAAAGTTGTAGGAAATTATATTTCCGAAATTTAGAAATTTGTTTCATGTCAATAGCTTATGTGTAGCATGATTTATGGTCAAATTACCAAGGCATGTTCAGGGTATTATTGTAGTTGAGCCATGTTGGAAACAACCACTGTAAACTGAAAAACTGCATTTATTTGACAGGGTATTTGAATTTATTTCCTTCATCAATATTGTAGGTAATTAAGTTATTGAAATTTTGGCTCTGACCTCATGCCAAAACAGCTTATATAACTCTAGAAAATTCTGAAATACTAAACCTTGTCCATATTTGTTATTAGGATTCTTCCTACTCTAAGTGTATTACTTCCATTACTCTCTTCTACTTGTATTAATTCCATTAGCATCAATTTAGGCCCTAGAAATGATTTTATAACTCAAAGAACCATAGTCTTGAATTTTAGAATTTTAGGCTATGAAGGAGGTGAGATTTTAGAGGTCTAATATGGTTGAAATCAAGGATTTAATTGGGGTATTTAATTGGCATGTAGGAGGCTACTTAGAAGTGCAAAGAGGAGACCCAAAGACTTGATAGATTATTTGATCAAGAATTACTCTTCACCAAGTTACAACATAAGGTAAGGGGTAGGATAATTTTTATAATTCACTTTTGCTTGAAATAGCATTGAGAAGAAGTCTCTTTACTTCTAAGTTAATTAGAAATTTATTTGGAATTATTTGAATGTTATTTCTATTTTTGATGAATTTTTAAATTTTTAAGATTATGTGAATTTTATGGCTTCTAAATGGAGCAACTTAAGTGTATGAAACCTTGTATGATTATAAGATATCTATGAGTGTTGTTTGAATCAATTGCTTAATCATTAGTAATTTTATATGATTTATTGATGAATTTAATTTGAGAATTATCATATTTCTATGTTTAGTATTATGATAATTGTTTTAAATTGATTATTGAGATATATTGTATGTATGTTATGAAGCATGATAAGTAGAAAATTATTGTGGAATGTTTTTGTTAAGATGGATTAACATGTAGAATTGCATTGTATAATTTGGTGGAATGGAGGAAAGGTGTGAGAAATGAACTATGTGAGAAAGAAAATTATTTTTTAGATATATTAAATTGAATTTACAATTTAATTATGAAGTGAATTTTATATTTTTATTTAATTAATAAATATTTTTCAAAAGTATTGGAATAATTTTGATTTAGGAGAAAACAATTAATTGTAAGTGAAAATGAATTTTTAATAATTTTGAGGAAATTATTTGCAATTATTATTATTATTATTTAAGAAAAATAAATTAAAATTGAGAAAATTATGATTTTGGGTAATGATGAATATGATGAGGTGGAAGGATGGTTTGGTGAAAAGTAGAAGTGTTCTGGGTTGTTTTTGATTATTTTGCAGGTGTTAAAATTTTTTGGGAATGTCCGATTTACAGGGGAAATTCTGTCAGATTTTTTTAAGAAATAGTCTAGTATTATTTTGAAGAAGTTAAGATGTGATTTAAGTATAATGAGGTGAAACAAAGTTGAAAGAGTGTGAAGACGTTATGATAAGTCATGCATCATGTTCATGAATCAGAGATTGAGTGTATGAGGAGGATATGGAAAATCAGGGTCGATTCCATGCTAACCTCGGGGATGATTGAGCTCATATGTGGCTCAGGCTCGCTACCTAAGCTGTGAGACTCTCACTACCAAGCTTGATCATCCTGACTAAAGCCCCAGGGTTTCTCATGATCAATTGAGCTGGACAAGTAATTATGAGTATATTACCGCGAGGCGGTGAGAGGTTCTAGTGAAACTCCTGATCCTTCTCGAAAAAAAAAAACAAAAAAAAAAGAGAAAGTGGTTTTGGGATCCCCATGGTCTTGCATACTAGGATGTGTCCTAGAAAAGATTAGTGGATACATTGCATTCATAATATCATATCATTTGTGTGCTGATTGCTAGTATGTTTATATGTGGAATTTCTAATTAACCCAATGTTATTTGCATGCTCTAAGTGAATATAAAGTTGTCTTACCCTTTTTGTGCATGTATTATTATTATGAAATGTTTGCATAGGTGACGTTGAACACAACTCATCCCCGATATCATCTCCAAGTAAAATTTAAATACGATCATTGCAAGTACTAAGTAGAGGACTTGATTGGACACCACTATAGTGCTACAAGAGATATTTCATTTTAGTGGACGTACGAAATATATCTTCTCTTTAGTTAGGTTGTATAGTTAGTTTGTCTGCTCTGGTCTTGTGAACCTTTGTTAGGTGTATTTTGGGATAACTTTGTGTATATTTACTATCTAGTTATACTTGATACTTATGAATGATATGTATATTAATCATTAATTATATGTTCTAATTATTATGTATCTTACTTCTACAAGAGTGTATTGGTAATCAAATACTAAGAGGAACCAATAATAATTAATAAATCATAATAAAGTGAATATTGGTATTAAAGGTGTCACATTTTGTCGTGGTTGTCACGAGAGGGCATCATCAGAAGGTTGTACATGACATTCCTAATGATTATTGATTGCATGTTTGGGTTGGTGTAGCTTATATATATAACCATGCTACTTCATTGTTAGAATATCCATGGAGATGTCTATAATTCGTACATGCTGTCTGTTTGTGATTTATTGTAGTTGGATTGTTTTACATGTTGTTCATTAATGCTTAGAACTAATTATTTTTGTATTGAATCCTATGATTATTTTCCCTATTAAATATATCCACTCGTTTTTTTTTTTCATTTTTCTTGAAGTAATGAACAACTATTCGTTTTTGGTAACCAAAAAACATCTTCCTTGGTTGTGATTGTGATTAACATCACTTAATAGAAGCTTAGCAAGACCTAGCTATATTCTTTCCTGTGGCAACTTCATACCACTTAAATATATTTTTTTTATATAATTGAAATTTATAATAAATACTTTTAATATATTAATTATCTTACAGTAAAAATTTTGTATAAATAATATATACTTAAATATTAAATGTTAGATTTTCAACAAACAGATTAAATTTCGATTCATAAATTTTTCTTACTTATTAAATTTATTTTAAGAATTACTAAATTCATCTTAGAGATATAGATAAAAAAATTGATAAATTGAAAAGGTAAACAGTTTGAAAAGTGTAAAAATAAAAATAATATTTTGAGATGTATGATTTTTTGTTGTTGAAGGAAAATTCTGTGAAATATCTGTTATAATAAAATAATGGAAGTGTATATGTAAGAAAATGGAAATTGTGAGTCTCTTTTTTATATTGTATACTAATTTATAAGATAAAGGTAAATATAACATGTGTTGCTCAACAAATTTATATATTATACTTACAATTGTATCATAAATATTTCAATTACTGACATATTTAGTTGAATTACAGTTCTGTTCTATCATAAATATTTTAATTAGTGACATATTTAGTTGAATAATTCAATCAGAGATTCCATTTTTTCTGAGTTTATATCCAAACCCGGTTACTAACTATACCACCAGCCATCACAGACATGACAGTAAACGAGTTAGTAAAATAAAACCCAAACACAGCAAAATTAAGCTAACCCCCTCCTCCACTTCCGTTGTCTGAAAATTTCCTTATTGTTCCTCTGTTGCCTTAGCCTCAGCTTTCCGCTTAACTGGAATCTCCTGCACAAGCATCTCCTCAAACACTGTCTCCGCCTCTTTCAATTTTCCCTTTGCACACAACATCTTCACAAAAGTGCAGAAAATGTCTTGGTTGATAAAAAACTTCTTGTCCCTAATGTCATAGAACGTCTTTAGTGCCATTTCTTCATCCCCGTCGTCACAGTATCCGCCAAGTAAGCAGTTATACATAGTGGCATCCAGGTTATGTCCATTCTGAAGCATGTCCGAAACAAGCTCTTCAACTGCCTGCATCCTACCCTTCACTTTACAAAGACCACATATAACTATGCAATAAGATAAGAAATTGGGTGAGCATCCCATCTGACTCATCTGCTTCAAAAGAATAACTCCTTCATCAATCTTCCACTCATCCACAAGAACTCTAAACACTGCATTGAAGCTTGACACACTTGGCTTAACACCCCTCGCCACCATTTCTCTGAGAAGTGACACTGCTTCTCTTGGTTTTCTAATCTTGCAATACTCATTCACAACAACCCCATACGCTTTCACATCCGGCTTCATCCCGCGACTAACCATTTCCCTCAAATGCTTGACAGCTTCATCAGACTTTCCCACAATACACAACCCCTTCAACAAGCTAGTGTTTGTGGCGACATTGTCTTTCAAACCATTCAACCGCATCCTACTCATCATTTTCTTTGCTTCGTCCACTTCTCCGCTCAAACAAAGACATTCAATCAATGTATTGTAGGTAACAACATTCGGAGAACATCCTCGTTCCACCATCTCCTTCAGACACTCCAGCGCCTTTTGGAATTCACCCCTCTTCGAATACCCATAAATCAAAGTGGTGAAACTCAACGCATCCGGCGCACAATTCTTACTCTCGATCAATTTGTCAAAAATCCACCTGGCACCCTCCATCTGACCTCTCTTACAAAACCCGTGGATCAACGTGTTGTAAGTAACTATATTGGGTTCGCAGCGCATTTCGTCGAACACCTTGATCGCACTGTCGACCATGCCCACTTTGCAAAACCCACGAATCATGGTGGTGTGAGTGTAAACATCGGGTTCCACCACAGCTTTTGCGAGGACCTGATCGTAGATGGCCTTGGCAATATTGACTCGGTTGGCCCTGACGAGCACGCCCAAGATGGCGTTGCATGAGTAGACGCAATGTCCTCGTCCCAAGTTTTTGGCTTTGTGGAACCAGTGAATGGCGCCCCTGATATCGCCGCGGTGGCCGAGCGCGTTGATGAACTTGCAGATGAGGGAGTCAGAGAGTTTGTTGGAGTGACGGAGGAGGGAGTAGGCTGTGGAGAAGAGGGAGTGGGAGAGCAAGAGGTCGGTGATGGCGGCGTAGCAGAAGGGGGTGTGGGAGTAGTTGTTAGGGTTGGGGTTGGGGTTGGAGGCCCAGTTGAAGAAGTGAAGCGCGTGGTGGGGATTCTTTTGGTTCTTGATCACGTGAATGACCAAGTTTGGAGTGAGGTAAGGGGAGAATTGAATGAGGGGTGAGAAATCTGGGATTTTGGGATTTAGGTTTTGAAGGATTGAGGCGATGGAGGTTAACAGGGAGAGATTTGGAATTGGAATTGTGGAGGAAGAAGAAGAAGAAGGTGGTGGTTTTGCTATGGCTTTTCCAAATGGCTGAGCCATTAAAACGCTGTTTTGTTTCGCTCCAAATGTCGCCTTTTAAATTGGAGCCGTTAGAAATTTTAGGTAAAAATACCATTAGGGTCAAAAATCCCCGTTTACTTACTTCTTATAAATTAAATGGGTTAAGTGGTGTTACGTGACACACTATTTCACTAATACATAACTTACCTGGGTAACTGAACAGCGATTCAAAGTTTCCTTCGGTTTGATTAAAATTGAGGGAAATACACTTATAGATAATTGTTAAACATTTTAATGCGAAGAGGATATTGGTTTTATTTTTTGTTTAATGTATAATAGTGACGATGTTATACGAGATTAATCATCACATTAATCCATAAATAGAATTTAAAATTAAATTTAAGAAATATTATATTTTTAATTAAAAAATACAATAATAAATACAATCAAATAATTTTTTATTAATAAATATAAATTAGTTATTATTAAATCTTCAAAATATATTATTTATAAATTATGATAAGATGTCAATGTAAAAATTATGTTTTCTTAAATATGATTTTACATTTATTCCATCAAAACTTTAATAGTAGAAATAAAAAATCGATATGATTATATAATCATATTATAATTTTTTAAAATAGATGTAAATTAATATATATATATATATATATTATTTTTGGTACGCTTTTAAATATTACAAACTAATTATTCAATTTAATTACCCATTCTTAATACAAAAATATCGTACAATCCAATTTTATAAGAAAACGATTAAAATATATTTTCACTTGAAAGTAAAACAAAAAATACACTAGTATAGTTTTTTTCAACACGATGTTATACTTTAAAACAATTTATACATCGTAACAAATAAAAGATAAAAATATTATTAATCTTGTAATTCAAAAGGTCACGATGAGAATGTTTTAACCTTAAACTCCAAAAAAAATAAAAATAAAAATGATGAGTGATGAGGGGATAAAATATCATTACATTCATGTATTAATTTAGGTTAATTTAATAAGTTGTTGCATTGTGGAAACGATTTCATCATGCATTATCATTGTTTTGGATCATACATGTTGGTTTGTGCATTGTTCTTATAAATAGGTGTTTGGAGGTTTGAATTCATAGTTTAGAGGAAGTTGGTGTCAAGATAGAAAAATTTTAGATAAGCAAATTCCACAAGTACCTTGTGAAATGTTCCACAACGTGTAGATTTGATACCAGAATGCAAAGATCAAGATCAGAAAGCTTCAAAGGTTGATTGTGGATTTTTCCACAGCCTGTGAATTAGACTCCAAAAGATTGCACGAAGTCAGAGAGCTCCACAGATGAGTTGTGGATGTTTCCACAACCTGTGGATTTGTGGTTCAGAATGCACAGTTGAAGTCAGAGAATTCCACAGGTGGTTTGTGGATTTTTCCACAACTTGTGAAAATTCAAGACGGTTATGAGAAGTGATAACTACCTCAACAAGTGGAGAAAAAAACGTGGAACACCCTATAAAGAAGATGGAACGAAATTGAAAAAGAGGGGTTGGCGACCATTCTCGATTGTTACATTCTAGTTATTATCTTTTGGGCAATTTTTTTACATTATGCAGAACTGATTTTCCTTTTTTGTCAGAGGATTGATGTAGTACTCTGAATTATATTTTCTTGTTCTTGACAATTGATGTTAGTTAATATTCTTTATTTCAGTGTTCTATTTATAATTTCCAAGTTCATTCCATGAGCAGTTTCACAATTGGGAGTTTGGAGGTTGTTCGCGATCCTAAATATAACAGGTTAGGGTTTGTCACAATTGAGAAATTGGGCATATATCTAATTAGTTTGCAATAGAGAAAATTATTGTTTTTTCATGATTCTATTGAATGGTGTAACTGACCTAAGGGATTGGGGGTTTGGATTCAATGAATAGTTTTGCCTACTAAAGGATTAGGGTAAAATAACTCTGGGCAAAATCACGTGGATAATTATATTTCTTGCATCTAAAAAGACTGGAATTATATAGGAAAGGGTATGAAATCAATTCTCTAACCGTTATTGTTTTGACTAAAGTTCTTATTATAATTCTATGTTTGCTATTTTATCCAAATTTTCAATTGCTTAAACTTACGTAAATTAAGAATCTAGTATTCAACAAATTCAATCCCAGAGGACGATATTTTATTACTACGTTAACGATTGGTGCACTTGCCAAACATTTATCAAGTTTTTGGCGCCGTTGTCGGGGATTGATTTTCTTTTGATATTAGTGATCTAATTCGCTTAAGATTTGAGTGCTAGTTTTTAGGTAGTCAAAACTGTTCTTAGTTTAGTTATTTTGTTTTTCTGTTTTCATTATCTTGTTTGTTTTTTCTGTTGTCACATTAATTTTGTTGTTAGAATATTGTATTTTATTTTTAAGTTGTTTATGCGAGGTACAGTGGCAGGAAAAATTTTGCTTTTTGACCCAGAAATTGAACGTACTGCTAGACATAATAGAAGTGAGGCAAGAAAGAAGAAGCAAAAAGGAAAAGCAGAGATATCAAGTAAAAAGGAAGAGCACATATCAACAATGGCAGAAGAACAACCAGAGAGGAAAACTTTTCTTGATTATTCTATGCCAGATGTGAATAATTACCAAGGGAGCATTATGAGACCTCCTATTCAAGTCAACAATTTTGAAATCAAGCCTGCATTATTACAAGTCATCCAACATAATCAATTTGGAGGTGCAGTTGCAGAGGATCCTAATTCTCATTTAGAGAATTTTCTAGCCATCTGTGATACTTTGAAGCTTAATGGAGTTTCAAGTGAGGCAATCCACTTGAGGCTTTTTCCTTTCTCATTAAGGGATAAAGCTAAAAGTTGGCTTCAAACACAACCTCAAGGAAGCATCACTACATGGGAAGATATGACTACAAAATTTGTAACCAAATACTTCCCTCCATCCAAGTCAGCAAGAATGAGAAATGAAATCACTACTTTTGTGCAGTAAGAGACTGAATCTATGTACGAGACTTGGGAGAGGTACAAGGAGCTGTTGAGGAAATGTCCACATCATGCTTTACCAGATTGGTTACAAGACCAGATATTTTATAATGGTCTTGTACCCTCTTTTAGAACAATGTTGGATGCAGCAAGTGGAAGAGCATTTAATCTGAAGACACCAGCAGAAGCCTTGGAGACTATTGAGTTAATGACAAATAATACAGGGAATATGCAGTTTGATCGTCAGAATAGAACAAGTGGAATGTTAGAAGTTAACACTTTAGATGCTATCCTAGCCTAAAACAAGTTGTTAACACAACAAATGACCGAGTTGACTAAGAAGATTGATAATGTGCAAGTGAAAGCAGTGAAGACAACACCTTTAGCATGTGATTTTTGTGGAGGAATGCATCAAAATGGTGAATGTCAAGTCACTCAACAAGAGGTTTAGGTGAATGCAGTGGGCCAACATCAGAATCAGTTTGCTAACAATTTCAATACAAATTGGAGAAGCCCATCAAACCAACCTTGGAATGGATCGAATCAATCCAATCAGCCAAAGCTTCCATATCAATATCAACCACAATCTAACAACCAAGGAAATAAGATGTTGAGCAAACCTTAATATTTGTAGAACAAACTTCTAATTTCATGAATGAGGCAAAGACAAATTTCAAGAATCAGGAAGCTTTAATCAGAAACTTGGAGAATCAAATTGGTCAACTTTCACGACAAATCTCAGAGAAATCTCCTAGAACATTTCCTAGTGACACCATTACCAACCCAAAGGAACAATGTAAGACAATTAAATTGAGGAGTGGTAGATTGGTAGAGAATGAGAAAAGGAGTGAGATGGGTAGTGAGAGAAAAGAACAAAGAGAGGAGATTGTGATAGAGAATGAAAAAAAAGAGCAGAAAAATTGTGAAGAGGAGAATGAGGGGGAGAAAAGTCAAGAGAGTGAAAAGGGTAAAATGAGAGAATATGTTCCTACTATTCCATTCCCTCAAAGGTTGAAGAAGAAATAATAAGGGACATAATTTGCAAGATTTCTTGATGTCTTTAAAAAGCTCCACATTAATATCCCATTTGCTGAAGCATTGGAGCAAATGCCAAGCTATGCTAAATTCATGAAGGATTTGTTGTCAAGAAAAAGGAAACTACAAGAGGATGAAACCATAATGCTTACAGAGGAGTGTAGTGCAATCATTCAACAAAAATTACCTCCCAAATTGAAGGATCCAGGAAGCTTTGTCATTCCATGTGAGATTGGAAATTTAATGATAAGCAAGGCATTGTGCGATCTTGGAGCGAGCATCAATTTGATGCCCTTGTCCATTTTTAAAAGGTTGGGTATCAGAGAAGTGAAGCCTACTATGATAACTCTCCAATTGGTGGACCGATCAATGACTTATCCTTATGGAGTGGTGGATGACGTCTTAGTGAAGGTTGATAAATTTATCTTTCCAGCTGATTTTGTGGTCCTTGACATGGAAGAAGATATTAAAGTCCCAATTATATTGGGAAGACCATTTTTAGCCACAGAAAGAGCATTAATAGATGTACAATAAGGTAAATTGATGTTAAGAGTAGCTGATGATAAAGTCACTTTCTCCATATATGAAGTAATAAAGCATAAGGTGGACAAGGAGGATTGTTTCCAGGCTGAAATCATCGAGTCTCTAGTGTTAAAAGAAAGGGGTAATCATCTGAGGAAGAGTAGGTTAGAGCAAACTCTGTTGTCCGGAATGGGAGAAAAGGATTTGATTGAAGAAGTGAGTGAAGAAGAAGTGGTACAGTGTGCTCATCAATTAGAAGCTCTCAAGCCATTATTCAGTTCCACTAGAAGACTTAAACAGGAGTGACATTGGCGAAGAAGAAACATCTACGATACAGTTGAAACCACTCCCTTCTCATCTTAAATATAGATTCTTATATGACACAATGCTTAATCCTGTAATTATAAGCAATGCACTGACTACTGTTGAAGAAAAAAAGCTTTTAAGGGTATTGAGAGAGCACAAATCTGTTATAGGTTGGAAAATTGATGATTTGAAAGG